GAAAGGCAGCAGACATCAATGTCTAGGGACTAGGGTGCGCGCTAGACCGACGTGATGTCCAATCTGCATGAGTGTCCGAACCTTGAAGCATGCCAGACGGAACGAGGATTGGGGACGAAGGACAGCCATAGGTTGAAGCCCGTGGTCCGCGGCGCAACCGCAATCGCAGCCAGATTTTTGAACACGTGAATGGGGTAACAGAAAGTGCGGATTGTTAGCAAACAAACAACTGGCGTGTAAAGAACTCGTGTGAATGTGAGAAGCAGTAACGGTAGCTGATGAGCACGTTATAGTACAGTCCATGGTTCTGTGAGAGGGCATGATACTACCCGGTTGCCCAAGCCGAAGTAGGGAGTTGACTTAGGGGACCCCACCCCGAGTCTTTGGCTAAATAACCTGCCCGCAAGGCAGCGGGGCGAATTTAGGGAAGCGCGCCCATTGGGAGGCGTTGACTGAATGTTCTCTTCATGCGTCTTCGTTTGGTAGATTACCAAACACGGGCCCAATACTCTCCATGAAGTCAGGACAATTGCAGGAATACAATGCCCCACGGAGGTGGAACATTGTCGCCGAACACTTTGCTGGAACGGGGTACACCCGAAACACCCAGCTGGCACCACGAGTTAGTTCAGTAAGCCAGATGACATCAAGGTGAAGAGGCTGCTAAATGCACCAGACCATATCACAGTAGTTCAAGCTGATATGGATAGGTTATACGCATGGTCAATCCAGCATCTACGTTGATTCATTGTGGACATTTGCAGAGTGCTTCACCTACGGCACAAATTGGTGCTCTCCCACAACCTGGGCAGCCAGGAGCTTCAAACGTCTTCTATCGAGAAGTAGCTGGGTGTTTTGGTCCAGATGGACTTTGGATGTTCGAAGCAGACTGAAATGGCCTCTAGCAGAGACATCCAACACGTGGGCTTCTTGAAGCGTGCATTCGGACTATTTATCCCTTCAATTTTTGCACAACGTTTCGGCTCATACATACGGCCACATGTAGAACACGCCATGCAGGTGTGGTAGCCATAGCTGAGGAGAGATCTCACCACCTTGGAGATACCCTAACGCCAGACAAACAAAAATGTCAAGGGTCTGTAGCATTTGCTGTATGAACGAAGGCTACAAGGGCTCGGGGTATTCAGCCGACAGTATCGGCGATTGGGCGGGACCTCCGTTTGATTTACCAAATTTTGAGCCATCCCAACCACAAGTGCCGCTACTTACTTGGGCTTAGTCACAACGGCGATTTGCGAGACCATCATCTTAAGCTGGTAGAGCAGCATAGTCTCTTGGAATGCTGTCGGAATTTCTTTTCCGTAGGCGTTGGCCGTACATGGAATGCCTTAGCGGAATCTGTCATTTGTGTTCACAAGTTGGCAGAGTTCAAAGCCCGAGTTGTTTGTGCTTTTATTTCGATGCACCATCCTACCTGACCCATTACCCATGGCTAAACGCAAGTGTCCGCAAGCGTTTTCACTGACGGTCCAATTGCAGATTTCTTCCCAGGTTTTTCACCTCCTTTAGGTGTACACCAGAAGGAGACACGGTTTTATTTCCAACATCCCATTTGCTATCATTTCTCATCGATTTACCTTGGTGTTACAGCCTATGCTACGTATACTTCAGTGTGTTCATTGATGTAAACCCAAATTTCTAATAATTTCTTTATATTTTGAAGTTTCACCATAATCACCCTACGAGACCTGGTAAGGACTGGCTTTTTTACCCTTAAAAATCCATTGTTCCATGTTTATTGTTGTATCCAGCATTAGCTTAGATCCCGAGATTAGACAAGTATTTCAATCATCCGTAGGACAACTTCCAGTAACAGCAGAAACAGTCAGAGAACAAGCAGCAAAAGCTTCCTTGTTACAACGTATTATTAGGTACCTTAGCACTGGTTGGCCTGCACCCCGCTTGGACAACTACGGTGAGCAGTTTCGTAAAAGAAAGTTCACCTTAACCACTATTAATGGTTGCTTGATGTTATCTGACCGAAGTGTGATTCCTAAGACTCTACAAAAGTAGGTTCTCAGTCAGTTCCACGAAGGTCACCTGTGAATCAGTCGTACGAAATACATGTCCCGCAGCTACGCCTACAGTCCATTCATGGATCAAGATATTGAAAATGTGGTTCGTTCCTGTTACAGCTGCACTATGGCAGCAAAACTACCTGTCAAATGTGAGCTTCGTTCTTGACAAACTCCAAGTGGACCATGGTCTCGCATTGGGGTTTACCCGCGTGGGTTCGAATCTCACCTCCTTCGCCAGCTGAAGTATTCGCCCCTTGCCTGAATGGACGCTTGATTCCCAATCAAACCCGAAGTCGCTGACCCCACATAGGACAGAGAGAAGACCGGATCGGACGAGCAGAGAAACAGGAATTAATTAGCAAACCACGCCGTTCATTTTGAAGGTGAAATGGAAAGTTCGTGAATGATATTTACAGCGAACATGGAAAGCTCTGGAAGGGTCAACTTACAGCCAATAGAAGAACGCTGCCTTCAAGTTAATTGGCCGCTTCTCCCGGTTGGCTCCATGTTCGGCCCAATCAGGGCGGATGAGTTTGAATCGACTGCCGCGGCGATGGGGTCCTGGCTTGTTCGCATTGCGTATTCCTTCCTAACACATATCGATATTGCCAAGCCCTTGGAGGGTTTCCACTATCTGGCAATTGCTGATGCTTACTCAAAGTGGCCCGAAACTTACCAAACGAGATACGCGACCACATCCGTTGTTTTGTTACATCTACGCCATTTTATCTCAGGATTTGGTGTTCCCGAAACGATAGTTTCGGACAATGGTTCCCAATTCACTTCTCAAGGATTTGATGACTTTTGCAACTCACATGACATCGAACACATACGCACTCCAGCGTACCATCCACAGTCAAACGGGCAGGCTGAACGTTTTGTCGATACGTTTACATGAGCATTGTTTAACATTAATGGAGAGCGGTTCACCCAGGAAATCTTTGACAAATTTATGTGGATTTACCGTAGGACGCCAGGTTCAGCAGTACCTCAAAACGTACCTCCATGCGAAGTGTTTCTCGGTAGGCTTGCTTTGAAGCCGTCGTAACACAACGGAGAGCGCCATTTTAAAAATGGTATTGGCGTTTACTCGACATCATGGAGCACACCCTCACATTTCTTGCCTGATGATAATGTGTACGTAAAAAGCTTTTCTTGACGGAAGACCATCCTGGATTCCTGGCCATGTGGTTAAACGGATTTTAAGTGTTTTTGGTACAGAATACAAGTGGATTACATCACAAGGACCAGATATGTAAGCCATATTAGACCCGATTTGAAGTCCAAGGGACGCCCCAAAAACAGGGAGCTTCACTACCGTTGGACATTTTTCTGGATACGTATCAATTTACCCCGTCGGAAGCCATTGTCGTCCAAACAGAAGATGACGCAGCAGATCGCAGATACTCGAAACGAATCAGAGCCCCAGTGCAGAGACTCGTGATTAACCCAATACGTAAAACATACGAATCAAACGGATGGTGATATTAAGTTCACTTAAAGGAGGGAGGTGTTAGACGGGCTCGCGCTTGACGGTCGTTCACAGCTGGATCGTCTGACACTAGTGGCTGTCCTGTCACGTTCTTGAATTGGACGCATGCACGACAGTCGTTCAGAGTTAAACCGCTTACCATTCGACTACGTCCTTTCATGTGGTTGGATGACTGATCTATTGATCTTTGTACATCTCGGTTGCTCAGGTATGTCAGTTTTCCATCCACTTCGTCCTAGCGCGGTGTGTTCTTGCTTTCTGTTCGGAGTGGGTTGTGTTGCAGTCAGAGGTTATAATACAACTGCTGCCCTCGATACGGTATCCTGAAAATCGGTAAGCGAATGCGGCGGAAAGTTAGCAGGAGATGGTGGATCACTGTGTGTATGCTTGCCAATGATATTCTACTGCGTACGAATATATAGATCAGGGAGCTATGCGAATGATCTTTGGCGCCTTCGGTTATCTTCTGGTTGTCCACAGAGTTGAATTTACTCATCAAGTTGTCCTGGTGGGGACGGTGAGTGAACCGCCCTCCCCCCACCATAATCGTCGCAGCCTCACACTTGGTGCAGGGTACAACACGCGAATCGGATGTTCCCTTGGTCGCTCACCATGTGGTTCCAGAAGTGTTGAACTGGCAAGCAGTATGTACCGACTTCGGGGTTAGCCAGGTACTGGTTCCATGGTGTAAACTCTTGTCTGCTGACAGGGTGCGCATATCACAGTACTTCGTGTTAAACGCACTGCGCCCGCACATGTGGTTTGTTCCGTGAGCCGGAGAAAATCTTTTTAGCAATTACCAAGTTTTAAGTATACTTTTGGGAATCCAGGGAACTGGATCAGCTTAGAATTTCATTACAAGTTATGGACCAGTTCCTGGCCGCTTAATGGGTGTCAAAATCTTATGAAGCATTGGCCACCTCATGCCACCCTCTCCCAAACTGGAAGGTCTGTACGCAACCGAGGCAACAATATTTCATGCTGTAAGAGACACTTTACGGACCCACATTTTTTACACCTCATTGATATGATATGCAGTGATGACTTCCTGTTTGGTGCGTGCTGAGTCTCTTAGTTGCGTGCCACAAGCATTTATGCATCATCTTCCCTAGAAGACATGAAGTGCGTCCCTATTTATTTTGATGCGATCCTGTGCTTTATCCGTCTTGATATACGAATTCAAATTCATTGATTTTTCCAGCCCAAACAATCAGATCCTCTAAATTGTCGGACATGTTGCATTTTCATTTAGCCACGGATTATGCTGGCATGGTGTTGGCATAGCCGAGAATTGCCCGAGCTTAGTGGCTCATTCAAGTCAGGTGAAGACAGTTGCTGTGTTTTCCATGCTGCAGCTGGCTCTTTTAAATCGTTTCTATGTGTTGTTTCTCGTTACATGTTGGTTTACTTCATTTTTAAAGGAAACAGAGATTGTTATATAAATCCTACCATTTCTGTTCTGCTTATAGTTATGAAGAATCAAGGGACAAACAGATCGCGATCGTGGATGAATACGCAGCCGCCGTTCCCAAGCTACTGGAAGAATACGAGACTTCTTGTGAGCGATTCTTCGGAGTTCATGAGATTACTGCCCGATACACAGAACCCTCTAAAGTAAGACGGTGGTTTTAACTCTATATCGACGCACGGGTATTTGTGTTAGGTGCCTAATAGATGTCAGATAATCATCTGAGCTAAGGAGAAATCGTAAACAAAGAAAGCGTGACCATGACATGAAAGTTTGGAGGCTGGCATGACAAAAATTGTGCCTGACCCAGTGGTCAGCAGTATGATTATATTTCCTCCACTACCTAAATAAATAAATAAGTAAATTTGTATATTTACTGACAGGCGGTACACGGCCCCATAAGTGGGAGCGATCATCTGTATAGTGAATACGTTTAGTAACCTTAAAGAAAAGTTTATTAATAGCATTTCGGATCATGATTGTTTTTCCTTGGGTCCTAGACCCGTACAACTCATATGAAAATTTTTTCGGATGTTTGTATCGTCAGGAGTAGATGATGTAGGGAGGGACTACTAGGCTGCAAAGACACCGAATTTGGTTTGGTATGTAATGACATGTAATGGGTAAGCTAGCTATAAGCGAATATCTTCTCATATGATTTTTTATACCAACTTCTGTCAATGTTTCTAGTGTTTGCTGCGAGACAAATATTTTTAAAGCATTTGGTATAGTGAGGAAGGTCTGAAGGGGATTTCGAAACGTGACATGGCTTCTACACATGCGTATCTGTAGGGGTAGTTTGTTTCACATATAAGTGTACCTTACTAAGAAGAAATTCGATCGAATTTTATGACCTGAAAGGTTTGTACGTATCAAGTGGCCGCCGTTAGGTGTGGGGTAGGCTGCAGTTTTCCGTAGTTCAAGTGGGGTGCTCTCTGCGTAAATTCGTTGGTTTATACTATTGTAGAAGAGAACGAGGTTGTTCTTTAAGCGTCTCAGCCAAAGTGGATCCAGTTGGAGTTTTCGACAGCGATCATAATAATTCAGATTTGGGAAACGCCATATGACCAGATTGGTAATTGATCTTTGGACATTTTCCAGAGCCGTTCTGTCTTTCTTTCTCAATTGGCTGTGGACGATGGTACAATATCCTAGAGTCGGTCTTACTATTATCTTGAATGACTCAAGTCGTGCTTCTGGTAGGGAGAAAGTTCTGATGGTATATCCGCATAACTGCCTTACTTTCGCAACCTGATAAATAACATGTTCGGAGAAATTGAAAGAGTTGGAGGACCTAATTCCTAAGTTCCGAACTGAATCAGATGTTGGGATCACATTGCCGGCAAGTATAATGGAGCCTTCTGGGATGCGGCATCTGTACCCAAGTACTTGGGATTTCACTGCGGCGAACTTCATTAATAAACCCTCACTAGCCATATTTAGTGCGGATAGATCTTCACAGATGTTCCCCAAACACATATGTAGTTAGTCTGGATGAAATGAGTAAACCAGTTTGACATCATCTGCAAACAGAAATGGGTGTCCATGTTTGCTCGGGTCACATAGTGTTTACGTAACTTGGATTTCTGAAGCAGTTTATTAAAGCTTTGAATACCGACGACGAATGTTCTCAGTACATAGTTCCAATTTCTCGTATTTGTCCAGGCAAACAATTGAAGCTGCTGTTATTGACCGCTTTCAAATTCGAGCTAGGCGTATATTGAAGATTAAGCTCATAGATCGGCCCAAAGGCAATGAGTGTGAAACAATGATTAGTTGGTCGTTATATGTACGTAGGAATAACACATCGAATAATTAGGTAGTAATAGTAAACGGGATGTTGTTTGTATTTTGCGATCTTAGGTGCAATATGAACTTGATACTTCGTCTTTGTTAAACATCCAGTTTGATTACTTCGTTGTAAATTTCGAGAGAGTAAGTGACAAAAAAGTGGAACATTTTCGTCAAGATTTGATGATGTTGATATAACGGTATCAGGGAACCATGGAATAATGGTAAAAAAACGAGTCTCAAAGCATAGGCTTAACATATCCCCTAGGTTGGTACTAGAATAAAATAAAAATTTAACACCATATAAGAGGACCAAAAGTTGCTTAACCGTGAAGTGATAAGCTGAGGCATAAAAATGGATTTCTGGGTGTGAAATGATGCAAAATATAACGGAAAATGATAGATATGTCTAATATTTGAAACAATTAGGAGTCTCTAGTAATTTGTTTGAAGCCGTAACAAGGCGAACACTAGCAGACGTCAAGTGCATGTAGATGATATTTTCGTCTTTAGGTTATCAGAGTAGCATATCACACGTTTGGCCGATCGTCTGAATATCGTGCATACGAATCTGAAAGTAAGCAGCGAAACAGAGAAAAGCAGCTGCCTCCCATATCTGGACGTGTTGATTTGCCGAAGAACAGATGGGTCCATCAAAACAGAGGTTTACCGAAAGCTGACTTAGTCAGGGCAGTACTAGCACTTTACCAGCTTCTCCCCAATGTTGTACAAGCGGACCTTAGTCAAGACAATATTCAAGCGTCCAAAAAAATGAACTAGCGATACTTTAAATGATGAGATAAACTCGCTCAAGGATACGCTGTTGAAAAACGGCTATCCAGGAAGATTTATCGACAAATATAGTCAGGCGAGGGTGCCGGGACAGAAGATTTCGACAATGTCTTAAAAGAAGGTCTATATCGAGCTACCATTTAGGCTTGATTTTGCCAATATGAGGACAACGAAGCACATAACTTCCGTAGTCCAGAGGACTTCTTATGCTGCTTAAAGTGTGCTTATCAACCGGACTAAACGAATACCTGTTACTTCAGTGACGTAAGGCAACTTATTGGCTTCACCTCACATTGTATTTACCAATTTACTTGTAGTTGTGATGCACGCTACATAGGCCGTACCAACAGAACGTTAAACTCCAGAATAAGGGAACATGTACCTAAATGGTTGCAGCGTCAAATCACCCAGTCGTCGGTAGTTCATACGACCAATTCAAGTAAGCCACCTGCTTCATCCCTAAGAAGGCATTTACTGGCCACCTGTCATCAGTTTGATCCGGCCAACATGTTTACAATCTTGTGAAGACATGATAACGCCCGTTTCGTACGTTTCGCATAGACAGTCACGATCAGCCGTATCGAACCCGCACCTTATGTGCAGAAACAGTTGTTCATAAGCCTACGGCTGTCCTGGGCGTAGGGGCAGCAGGCTTGACGCCCACCATGTTCTAAGTTGTTCCGGTCTCAAGCTACTTGTCGTGTCAATTATTTTCCTGTTATTGTGTCGGCATTGAAGGGACAATACGAAATGTTGACATTTGCCCGTGTTCGTCTTCTTACGGCTACATGCTTAATATTACTAGCAAACAACTGTCGGATCGCTCAATTGTCTGGAAATTTGCACTTGCGTCATTGTGACTTCTTGTTCCAAAGATGAGAGTTATCCTGAATATTTCTATAATATTCATTTATCTGACAAAGTGTAGGCAGCTTTAAGTGATGTGTACCGTCTACTGAAATTTTCCAACTTAGGGGCACAACCAACTTAGATTAGGAGCACGTTCCAAGGTTCGCAGGCCTGTACTGTGAAGTTAATCCGTCGACAACCTAGACGACTGCATAATTGATTCGTTTCAGGCTATTGTCTCTGCGATTGACATTCAGAATGAAGTTCATATATATATATATATATATATATATATATATATATATATGTAAATTTCAGGTGGTGTGTTTGCACTTTTATCCTAATGCTACTCTTCCTTATTTTAATCTCAATCTGTACTATCTTCTATTAACTTGCACACGTCGTTGAAGCTAATTGTAGTTAATCCCGATAACATTTTTTGCATATGCGGAATTTCCTAAAATCACCTTTTCTGACCACTTGAATACATTGCCGATTATATATTTGCGACATTCTATGAATAGATCTTAAGCCATCGCAAACCATGGAACTCAAAACAAGGTACAGAAATAGTAAATGAAAACAAAACACAACATAACACATCAAAGTTCATGGTTTCGTCAGAGAGTAAGATACTACCCGGTTGCCGATTAGATCGTAATAACTTCTTTTTATACCCCATTTAGTGAACATTTATATCTCCGTATCTGTAAGCATTACCTAATTTATTTTATTTCATCTTGTCTTTTCGTGATTGGCTGTTGCTTGACATCCCCGGTGTGGTTGCGCTTGATGTGCATGTTGACAAGGTGCCTACCTTTCTATTACCCACTACCTCGTCCATACTGGCTCCAGGAGACAGTTAGTCGTTGCTGCAGGGGACGGGGTGCACGGTCCTTGTGGCCGTGTTAGGCTCGAAGAGTGGTTCCGTGCACTCAGTGTGGAGCGGACTACGGTCCAGCCACAGTCTTGTGTGCGGTTGATTCCCCAAATACAGTGTGCTTGTGTTTGCCTGTGAAGGAGTGTGGGCCGGCTCCGTTGATGAAACCTTGCTCCCATCCACATGCCTCCCGGTCTTATTCCTTCGGGTTTACACTGGATATGGGGTGTGTGGTTGGAGCTGTGGGTGGTGCAGCGCAAGCCGACCATGGTCCCTCTGTAAGCGCAGGCGGCCTGTCGCTTGCCACAGTGGCAGGCAAATCCGAAACCGGATGCCGCCAACCATATATATATATATATATATATATATATATATATATATATATATATATATATATATATATATATATATATATATACATATATGTATATATATATATATAATGGCGACAGCTTAATAATAAGCATTGTGCCATCGAAAAACCATAAAATGAATGCGTATAATAAGTAAAATATTCTAAATATGATAATACCCCACGCGATATCTTGCGTTTTCACATGCCGTTGTTTTCCTTCTTTCAGTTTAATGAGCGCGGTTTTGCTATGTAGAAGCAATGCAAAGACACATGTAACCTTTCCATTTTCTGCGATTACGCTTTAGTCCTTAAGAGTCACCAAATAGCGAAGTTCTTTAACTCTGACTCCCTAGATCGAAAGACGTACGGGGCCAACAACAGCTAGACTGGAATTCCGCTCCTTGACGTTTTGTCGCCACATGGTAGGTTAGCCGTCAAGGATTTCTTCCATTGAGGCCCTGCGTGAGCATATGGAGCGC